CAAACACCTCTTTCTCTTACACTCCCCACCCCCATGTAATTTCCTTAGATTAGATTTCTGGAGGTAAAACTTGGAAATAAATGAGTCTGCTGAGAATCACTGCTTTTCAGAAAGCCTTCCCAAACATCTGTTGAAATAAAGGAGACATCTTGAAACATCTTGAAACAATGGGGAGAAATATATTGCTAGGGCAAAACACAAGTTAATAATTTGAAATTTGATTTCTCCATGCTATAGCTTACTTGCTAGTAGAGATTTATGTCACTCCAGGGCTGATCTTATTAATTCTTCAGTGAGATGTGCACAACAGCTTCACTCCAATTTGCAATGAATTGCCTTGAGATTGGGCTTCACATAAGTTTAGGCTAAACAAACAAACAGAGTCCTGGTAGGCAGGTTGAGACTATACTTAGAAGGCCTAAATTGTACAAGGAGACAATGTAAAATTAGGGAATATTTTTATTTCATATTAAATAATATCAATTCATAATAATATTTATTCTTAATGTAATATTAGTAATGCTTGTTAATACAATAAGTAAATAAGCAATAAAATAAAAAGAGCTATTATTGATACTCATTTAATTTATTGCTCATAATATACAAATGAAGTCAGAATGACTAGTTCTGTCTTCCAGATAAAGAAACTGAGGCTCAGAATAGTGAAGTATCTTATTCAGGGTCACAGTGTCTGTCAATGTCAGTGCCAGGAGTTGAGGTCAGGTCTATCTGATTCCAGATCTGGACTTTTTTATTACATGGATACTGCTCATAAGTAAATTTACTCACCTGTAAGTGTCTATCTGGAGGTCCAAGCTGAGCAGGACTGTCACTTAAGTGTAAAGCTGACACTAGAAACTGAACTTTGATCTTTGATTGGAGTTTCTTTGACAGAATCCCATGTAAGCAGGCAGATAGATTCACACAACCATACCAGTCTTGCTTATGTCTGTAATCTCTAGTCAGCTTGAAAACCTCTCAAATTCATTTCCATTTTATTTTATTCAAATAATGCAGAAGATTATAAATCAGGACAAAAAGGCAAATCCTTTTCATATTTCCCTTTGCATTACAGTAACTATTGTTGAGTTAATATTCTATATACCCCAAGGCATGGGGAAAAATAATTTTTCAATCAAAGGCAAACTTTTATCCAAACTTAAATAAAATGATAAAATTTGCTACATTAAAAAACAACTTTCTTTTTACAAGTACTTTGAAGAATCTCTTCCTAGAGAAAATATTTTTTAATAACCTTTCTGAACTATCCCTTTACTTTTCATATTTTAGACTTTTATGCAGCAATTTTTTTCTTGCTGGCCTTGCTTCAGCTACATAGTCCAAATATATTTCAGAGACGGGTATTTTTTTGTTGTTGTTTTTGTTTTTGTTTTTTGAGACAGAGTCTCACTTTGTTGCCCAGGCTAGAGTGCTGTGGCCTCAGTCTAGTTCACAGCAACCTCAAAACTCCTGGGCTCAAATGATCCTTATGCCTCAGCCTCCTGAGTAGCTGGGACTACAGGCATTCACCACCATGCTTTGCTAATTTTTTTCATATGCTTTTAGTTGGCCAATTAATTTCTTTCTATTATTAGTAGAGACAGGGTCACGCTCTTGCTCAGGCTGGTCTCAAACTCCTGACCTTGAGCCATCCTCCGGCCTTGGCCTCCAAGAGTGCTAGGATTACAGGCGTGAGCCACAGTGCCTGGCCCAGAGACAGATATTATATATTTTTTTCTCGGTTGGTATGATATTACAAAAAATATATTTTGGGGGTGCCCACAGGGTACAAGACATTATTCTTGAGTGTTTACATCTCTCACCTCTGACAGAAATGGAAAAGCTGTTAAGGGTGGGCTAATCCCTATTGCAAATAGTTTTTTAAAAAACAAGGATTAATTTCCAGTCACTTATCTTATTTGTTTCAACAATTAGTTATTAATATTTTGGAGCGAGGAGTCCTTTCCTGTTCCAATCTTGCCTTTCCAGAAAGTTTGAGTTTCTGCCAAAAGTAGATGAGACCCTTAGTCCCTTTAGTGAGTATGCTGAAGCAGTGATTCTTACAACAGGTAGGAGACATTAGGGTACCTAGAATTTTCCCTACTTAGTTTTGGCAATGCTCAAATTTTCTTGTACAGTTGTGAAGTCTTCTGTTTTTAAAAATCTTCAGGGAGAAAATCATCACTTAGTCTAGCATTTTTGTTTGTTTGTTTGTTTTAGATAGGCTCTCATTCTGTTGCCCAAGCAAGAAGGAATGCATCATTATATGGGATCATAGCTCACTGCAATCTCAAACTCCTGGGCTCAGGCAATCCTCCTGCCTCAGTCTCCTGGGTAGCTAGGACTACCCATGTGCATCACCACACCTGGCTAATTTTTTTCTATTTTTTGTAGAGATGGGGTCTCGCTCTTGCTCAGGCTGGTCTCGAACTCCTGGTCTCAAGCAATCTTCCTACCGGTACCTAAGCCTCCCAAAGTGCAAACATTACAGGAATGAGCCACTGCACCTGGCCAATTTTTTCATATATTTGACCTAATCTTTATGTGCCTTCTACTTCTTTCTTCTTATTCAGTCATTTGTAGAAATGCGAGATTATTTTCTAGTTACCGTGCTCTGTGTAAGAATCCTTTAGATGCTTACCGCAGGATCACTCATTCTGCAAATATCTGTTAATCATTCACTATCTGTTATGCACAGGATAAGACACTTACCACCAGTTATATTTGTCCAAGGGGCTGGGCCCACAAACCGGAAGGACAGCTGTTGCTAAAATGCTCACAGTCTAGTGAAGGGACCAACTGTAAAGATAAGGGCAAATATAATCAGAGACTTCCACATGACAACCGCAAATGAAGCTACACCCATAATTTCACATCGTTAGTCATTAATGAAGTGGGAAAAAGTGGTAAAAATCAAAATTTTGTCAGTAGCAACCAAAAAAGGAAGGAGAATTCTGTCCTATGCCATTACTTTCAATAGTGGCAGAGGAGGATGTCCTAGCTTATAGATTCCCTGGAAAACAGAGCCTGAGGCAAGGCTTATCTGGGAAAGACTTTGTTGGGAAGAGAGAAGCAATGCTAAGGCAGGAAGGGTAAGGGCAGAAAGAAGTGAGGCTGGGATAAAGGGAAAGCAAACCCAGGGTGGCATTTTCCTGAATTGGCCAGAACTTCAAAGAAAATATTATTTTTTGTCAGTCTGGTGAGTGTGAAATGTCAGTCCATTATGTATTTAATTTGCATATCTTTAATTATAAAGGAGAGTAAACATTTGCCCTCTTCATTAGTTCTTCAGGTTTTATTGACCTATTTTCAAGGGTTTTCCCCATTTTTCTATTGAGATGTGAGCTTTATTATACGGATTTTTTCAGTTATATGTGTTACAAATATCTCTAGCAATTTCTTCTGGTTTATCTTTTTACTCCCTTTTTTAGTATCTTTTGTTGAACACAAGTTCCTGACTAAAATATTGCTACATTTATCAATTCTTTTCTTTATCAATTTGTAATTTAAAAAATATTTTCCCATGCATGGTTATAAAGGCATTTAAAATATATTTTATAATTTTTTTCCCTTTCACATTTATTTAGGTCTTTACTTGATTTTGAGCAGTATGAGGTAACAATTGAACTTCATTTTTTTTTTTCTATGTGGAAGAAGAATTGTCTCAGAACCAATGAAAAGTTTATCCTTTCTCCCACTGATCTGCACTACTCACTTTTTCTTATGCTAGATATTCATGTATACTACCTATTGCTTGTAGGCCACTTTTTCTGTTGTGTGGGTTCATTTTTCTTTCCCTTCACCAATATGCTGCTGTGTTAATTTCTATTGATTTATAATAAACCTAGAAATAACATGGGAAATAAGTCTTTCCACCTTGGCCTTCTTTAAGAGTATTTTGGCTGGTGTTGCAATGAAATCCATAGATCAATTTGGAAAGAATCAGTACCCTTTTAATATAGAGTTCCTAACGATATGATATTTTCCCTCTTTATACTTCTTTTAAATTTACATTTTGTAAAAATTTTATAATGTCTTTATGAACTTTTAGTCTTAATTAGTTAATCTGATTTCTAAGTTCTCTGTATCATACTATTATAAATGCCCTCTTTTAAAAATCATTTTAATTAGTATTTGTTGCTATTTTATGTAATGTAATTGTTTTGAGTTTATATGTTGTTTTTTTATTCAGTACCTTCTTGTTCCCAGTGTCAATGAAATATTTTTACTATTTTGCAATTACATATGAAATTTTTTATAGGTATTTTTGTAGATAAGCTTAATAAGATTAATAAAATTGCTATACTGTCATATTAAGTATCATAACTTATGTGTTGATACTTTAGGATTTTCTATGTAGACAATTTTATCATGTATGACTTATTCATCTAATTGGTTTCTATTCTAATCCTTTCATCTTTGATTTCTTTTTCTTTGACTTATTGCTAGATGAGAACTCCAGTACAGGATTGAACTGAAGTGGTGACAGCTGGTACCTTCTTGTTCCCAGTGTCAATGAAATAGTTTTACTATTTTGCAATTACATAAGAAATTTTTATAGGTATTTTTGTAGATAAGCTTAATAAGATTAACAAAATTTCATTTTATTACTGTTTAACTAAGAGATTTTTAAATTAATAATGAAGTTGAGTTTTATCAAACGCTTGTTTTATATTTGTTGAGATGATTATATTCTTCTTTTAAAATAGGTTAATATAGGAATTGTGTTGATTGATTTTCCTAATGATAAGTTAGTTTTGTATTTTGGAGATGAATCCACATTGGTCTTGATACTAATATCCAACTGTGTCTCAAATTCAAAACACAAGAAGTTTTGTCATGTCAATATACATAACATTGTTTTCACAAATTAGAAAGCCATTTGATGTCCCCAGAGAGCTCATAGACTAGTTAGGGTGACCAACATGTAAACAAACAAATAAAATACAAGGATATTTAAATTATGTTAAGAATGCATATTTATTTTGTTTCACCCTTAGATATCACAGGTAGACTTTTGGCTGAGAAGACATTATGCCCCGATTCCAAGACTTATCTGGGATATCATTATGATACACATTCTCTGTTTGGCCTGTTACAGGCAGCATCTACTTTCTTGTAAGTAGTTTGTAAATCTTCTTGAAATGTTTTATATGTTTTAATATCCACAAATTATTATTAAAATGCCCTTTAACACATTGTTATGTGAGTTGTATGTAACTCAGGCTAGTTTTGAGTTCGGGGCTTTGTGAAGCAAAACCCTGCAGTTGGTTCATGAAAATCTTATTTGTTGATGTTCCTATAGTTACAATTAATATTGACAATTTAATTCTAAAAATGTGGATCGTGTTGCATATATAATTCATGCATAGAAAACAATAAAAACATAACAAATTAGAAAGAATAGTTTTGTTTTAATAAAATACCGTGGCCCCAGGGAAAAATTGTTTTTTCTAGCATGGTAGTCAGTGTGTTAAGACATAGTAAAAAAAATCTGTTTATAGCAAATATTACACTTTATTATATTGTTTCTTAATTTTTAAAAAGATTCGTAAATAATCTTTCTATTCTAATGTTTTATCTGGCTGATTTATTATTTCTACTAAATGTTCTCACCGATTTTACAAGAATTTTTACTAACTTGTTGCAACAAGAGAAAAGCAGAGTAGAGTGGCCCTTATAGAAGCATAAAAACTTGTCTAAGACAGCCAAAGCTAAAATCTTGATTTCAGATAAATACTAGATAAAATAGAATTTTGAGACAATTTTATAATGTAATTATATCTGTAATTGTTAACAAGCTCTACAGTTTTTAAGGGGTTTGTACACTGATGTTGCCTTTATCTTACTTTGACTACAATGACCTCTTCTACCATCAGCTTGAAGAGTCCTTTTTAGGCCTGATTAAATATTGATGGGTAAAGTTCCCACCATTAGAGTCCAAAGTCAGGATTTGTGCACGCTGTTACACTAAGTGCCAGACAGCTCAAGCTTGGCAGAGAAAGCCTCTTCTCTCCTGGAGTTAACAATCCCAGATCCTGAAGCACCTTCTCAGTGACCACCTGAGTCATGCTGTTCTCTCATGAGAATATGGTGTGTTACATTATTTCTATCTTCTTCTGTATGTATCTATTAGGAGATTCTCCTAGCCTACATTGGCAGAATTTTTATAGCTTTATAGCCACAGGTGTAGAACATTGTGTTTCTATGTGCTACATCCTTGTCTGTCTAAAACAGGTCTTCATTCCAATTCAGGCTTATTGCAGTACTTTAACAAGTTGTCATCAAGATGGGCAAAACAGATATGATTGATAGAGTCAGCCTATTTGATAATAAAGTGAGCTCTCAGAAATACTGGTGTTAAGGTATGAGGATCAAGATAGAACTCATTAGTTTGGTCATATACAAGTATATTCCATTTTTATGTTTGAAATATAGCTGTGTTTCTAGAGCTATGAAGTTCAGGGAACTTAATGAATTTTTTTTTTTTTCGTGAAAATGATAGATACTTACAAAACTGAAGAAGAACATGAATCATATAACAAGCCTCTCTCTTTACTATTGAAAAATTCTTAGGTTTTGATTTGACTGAAAACAAAATGAATAAACTATACAGTAAACTTGACAAAGTTCTTAATATATATTTTTAAAATATGGCCAATTAAACCTATTGTCCAAAAAAATTACTCTTGTACTGATTAAAAACGATGTTATGTTTTCAATTCCATTAGGACTTGGCAAAAAAAGTAAAAAAAATAAAAAGAATACATAACATATTAAATACATAACATTAAAAATAAAATCGTATGTTACTGCTATCAAACAGAGATAGTAAGTGGTTTATAACTATTTTATGTTAATTTATCCCATTTAATATGGATTCTAAATTTCAATTAATAAGGCAAGGTATCAGTTCTTTAGACTTTAGAATGCACCACTCACACCTAGGTTGTCCAAGAAACTGCTAGTTATGGAGTTTAGGCAAAGAGGAGATGGGGAGGAGGGATAAAAGGAGAACATTTAGACATGTATTTCTCTTCAGTGTTGAGAATTAGGTTTCTGAACACTTTTCATATCTCAGGGATAAGTGAATATGACTTCTAAATTCTGAGCTTAATGAAATTCAAAGAATAAAAATGACTTTCCAAAACACACATAATAAAAATAGTTTTAAGTGGAAGCATTAGCAAGATTCATCTTGACAAGGCAATAGAAGTGTTTACTGAATTTATTAGTAGGGCTTCTATCATTCAAGTTAACAACCAACCCAACTTCTTTTTTTGCATTATTTTATCCTTGAGAGACAAAAACAATTGGTCCTGGAGTTCTGGGTAAATAATGGCTAAAACTGAGATTCAGGTTGTTTAACTAGGGTGAAGCAGATTTTAAGCTGCACTGTTAGGCACAACTTACTTGTTATGTGCTAGTAATTGTGAAAAAAAAATGTACATATATTCTTTTAAATACTATGACAACCTGTAAGTTAAGTATTGTTAGCTTCATTTTATATTATTTAAGAAACATGCTCAAAAGATTAAGAAATATTTTACATGGAAGAGCTGATGGGAGTTTAAGTTAGATCTGTTGGATTGCCATGGCCATTTAAATTTATTCTTGGTTTATAGGTTTGATTAAAAATGGCTAAATATAGGCTGGGCACAGTGGCTCACGTCTGTAATCCTAACACTCTGGGAGGCCCAGGTGGGTGGATTGCTTGAGGTCAGGAGTTTGAAACCAGCCTGAGCATGAGCGAGATCCCGTCTCTACTATAAATAAAAATAAATTAATTGCCCAACTAATAAATATAGAAAAAATTAGCCGGGCATGGTGGTTCATGCCTGTAGTCCCAGCTACTTGGGAGGCTGAGGCAATAGGATTGCTTGAGCCCAGGAGTTTGAAGTTGCTGTGAGCTAGGCTGACACCACGGCACTCACTCTAGTCTGGGCAACAAAGCGAGACTCTGTCTCAAAAAAAAGAAAAAGGCTAAATATAGAAGTTAAAATTAAAAAAAAATAACCAAAACAAAAACTTATAATGCTGCTAAAAAATACACAAATATCATTTTTCATATACATGTAAGGATTCACTAGGTAAATAAAATCAATTATCAAAAGAAAATTATTAACATTTCAAACATTAGTATAAAGGCCACCAAGGGTACCATATTAGAATCACGTAGAATTTTTTAAAATGCTGATGTCCATGTCCCATTCCTAGATATTTTGATTAATTGACCAAGAATGGAGTCTTGGCATTATTTTGTTTTTTAAAGCTTCTAGAAGTTTCTAATATATAGCTATGGTTGAGAAACCGTGAACCATAGGATAACTCACAAGAAGAGTTTAGTATAAGAAAATTTGGTTTTGATGCTTAGTATTGGCTTTTAAGAGCTTCTTTCATAAAATGTACATAATAATTTATATATGACCTTTTTTCAATTCACTTTATTCCCTCCATTTCATGTGCATATGGATTTATACCTTTGATAAAATATTTGAATTATATGAATATTGGATAACTGTTTATATATTTTTAAACCATGGGGTTTTTTTTAGTTAAATAAGATCATTTTCAAGTAATACTGAAGAAAGCTTTTCTAATGTTTTCTCCAGCGCTTCTATGAATGCTACAGGAAGGCGACCATTTGTTTTGAGCCGTTCAACATTTGTTGGGAGTGGGCAATACACGGGTCATTGGCTGGGTGATAATTTTTCACGGTGGAGAGACATGCGTATGTCAATCATTGGAATGTTAGAATTTAACCTCTTTGGAATTCCATATGTAAGTTGTAAAATTAAACAATAAGTACATTAAGGTCTATCTATTGATCCATATTATCTGGGGGTGCGAAACGTACTTCTATGAAGATGAAATGCACTCAAGCTGTTTTCAGGACGTTACAAACAATACACTTCATTTAGTCACTGTAGAAATTCCCTCAACCTATGAGGATCTCAGGAGTATCACATCTTACTTAGTTATTTTTTTTTTTTTCTATTTGCCTTTAGACACTAAAGTACTTGGTCATAGTAAAACTGGGGTAGTTTATTTCCCCTGCCACTCATCTCTCTCCCTAACCCTCCGTGACTCTTCTACAATGTATTATTATGAGCCATATAGGTAGTGGGGGAGAAAAGAAAGGACCATTTGGAGGTAGGGACATAAAATTCACTCTAGAATCATCTCCATCTCCTGTGAAGAGAGGAAATGAAATTAAACTAGCAAAATACTTCAAGTGTACAACAAAATACTTCCTCTTATCTGAACCCTAGTGATAAAGAAACAATTTAGCTGTTAAAGAATTGGCCGCTATGTTAACAAATTAGAAAATTTTATTGTAGTAATTTTCCCATATCCCAATGACTTTTTAAAAGAATAAATACAGAGTAATATTTGCCTTATTTTTCAAAAGCTGCAAATAAAATTGTTGTCAACTCTGAAGTTTTGTAGGAATTGCAACAGTGCAATTGCATTGTTGTACAAGTGATGGATTAGCTACATTCAAAGAAGACTTGCTAAAGAAACAGTGAAAAGTAAATACAGCTTTAAGTTGTATCTAGATCAGAAACTGATGGAGGCTAAACTTTTAATATTCACAGCCTCAGAGAGAAATGGAACATGACTTGTTCTTTCTCCAATGAAGGTTGTAAAGTTTAGTGAAGTATATAGTACAACTTCTGTGGTTTGGGGAACTCAAATTTTTATTACAATTATTTAATAACATATTTTATGACTCCATATTTTGCTTCTTTGTGACTTTTTAAACTATAAGCTTTGACAGTAACCAAATCATCAGGGCCAAAAGGTTATATTTCTAAGAGAACAAGAAGAGGTCTGAAATAAAATGATTTCAGAACTGGGAGAGGCCATCATTAGGTGTCAGGAAGCAAAGTATCTGTAATTTATAATTTAAAAGGAGACTATAGTCAGGTGCAATAATCCTGTGCCCTTTTGTCCCAGCCTGTGTAGTCAGCCAGTAAATCTCTTGGATTAGCTAAATGTACTGGGAAGGTTTTGTGTCTTTTAACTTATATTGAGATAGGAAATGTATGGCACTGCACTTGAAAATAAGCACTTTTAGGTACATTGGCTTACCCCAAAGACTACTTGCTTATACTATGATGTTGCCCACAGTTTTCTTTTAATCAAGGCTAGACAAGAGGGATTGTCACTATTTCATTCCATGTGCTTTTCTCAGAAAGCATATTTACACTTTCAGATTCTACATGAAAATGATATCCTTGTAGTCTTAAATGTATTTGTCATTAAAAATAGTGTAACCTGAAATATTTCAGTGTGGTTTTCATGGCAAAATTAATAAATGATATATTTTGAAGTCAATAAAATTTTTGTCCAGATTGGAGCTGATATATGTGGGTTTAAGGAAGATACAACTTACGAACTTTGCCTGCGTTGGATGCAACTTGGAGCCTTTTACCCCCTTTCCAGAAACAATAATGCAATTGGAAATAAGGCAAGTAAGAATAATTGCTATACTCAGTATTAATCTGTAATTAGAAACTGGAGTTAGAAAACTATATATGTATATATATAAAATCATAAAAATATGAATTTAAAAAATCAAACTATTCTTTAAGATAGCTTTCAAATATACTTCAATGATTTTTTAGAAAATTTACATGTTATTGAGTTTTTCAAGAACTATGAGAGAATGCCAAGAAATGCATGTTGGACAAATAGCTTTTCTAAAACTGTTCTTGAAAATGCATTCTTTATAATTTCTAAGAGAGGGATCATATTGCATCATCTTAAATAACCTATGAGTAAACTTTCTCTTTATAACAGGAGGTTGCAGCAGACAAATGTATGATATTGGAATTATCCTTAGTAATTGACCAAATTACAAGTCTTTGTTTTGATGTCAGGCAGATTACATTAGGTTATTTAGTATGGAATGTCCGATTTCCTGAAGTACTAAGTTTGACAGTTGATATTTCACTTGTTGACATTTCACTTTGACACTTCTTGTTTTTTATTGTTATGATGATGAAGGTACATCCTCATTCTTTCAACCACATGTTTTGGCTTGCAATTAACTTTCAATCTTTTTATAGAACAATTTTTGTGAAACCATGGATAAGGCAAAAATTTGTGTTAATTTGGAATATGAATTCCATCATGGAATCAATGCTGCACAGACACCTCGAAATATCAATGAAGTGTTTGGGAAGGATATGGCTAATGGCATGTCGAGAAGTTCTGAGAAGTCTGAGAAGTTCCGTTTTAGTGATTTTGATCTTGAAAATGAGCCACGTGGGTGACCTGAGACCGAGGTGGATAATATTGAGCTGAAACCTGTAGTGTAAGTGAATTCATCTCAATCTTTGCGTGAATTAGCAGCAAGGTTTGACATTACTATCCCAACAATATCGGGCCATTTGAAACAAAATTGGCAAGGTAAAGAAGCTGGATAGATGGGTACCACATGAATTAAATGAGCATCAGGAGAGAAATCATCTCAAAGCTTGACTTCCTTCGCTTTCACAACATATAACAGTGAATCATTTCTACCCTGTATTGTATGTGTGATGAAAAATGGATTATTTCTGACAATTGCAAATGTTTGACACAATGGTTGAATAAAGAGGAAGTGCTGAAACACAGTCCAAAGTTGAATATTCACCAAAAAAAACTAATGGTGGCTGTTTGGTGGTCCAGTGCTGGTATTATCCACTACAGCTTCATGAAACCTGGTCAATCAATTACAGCAGATGTCTACTGCAACTAATTGGATGAAATGATGCGGATACTTGCCATTAAGCAGCTGAGATTGGTCAGTAGAGACAGGCCAATCCTCTTGCAAGACCATATGTTGCAAAAAACAATGCTGCTCAAACTATGGAAGCTGGACTTGGAAACTCTCTGTCATTCACCGTATTCACCAGACCTTGCACTAACTGACTACCACTTCTTCCAGCCTTTGGACCACTTCTTGCAAGAAAAAATATTCAATTCTCAACAAGCTGTGGAAAACACCATTCATGATTTCCTTACCACTTGCTCTCCAGGCTTCTTCCCTGCTGGCATAAATAAGCTACCGTTAAGAAGGTAACCCTGTGTTGATAGTTTAGGTGCATATTTTGATTCATAATACTGCTTCTTGTTTGAGATACAATAAACTAAACTTTCGATTGAAAATTGGACATTTCATATTTAATAACCTAATAGTACATGATTCTGGTACAGGATTCTTCAGTCTGAAGGCAGAATCATTCCTCAGTAAAATTACTGTGAAGTCACCCTCTCTCTTGAAGAGGAGGTATAGTAATGATCTTTCATCTAGAAATTATTTTAAACTTTGCTGCCAGCTGGGCATGCAGACTACACACTCCAACATGCGAACTGTATAGAATGCATTTCATTGAGAGACAACTCGGCAATAGCCTACTGTGGTGCAAAACTTTCAAGTAGAGAGACATAATATTCAAAAATTGGTTTCTCCCAACCCCCCCCCCAAAAAAAGGAAAAAAAAATAATGCTTTAAAAATTCATGCTTTAGTTAATAGAATATTGCAATTCTTTTTTCTCCTTAAAATAGGAACAAGACCCTGGGGTGTTTGGAGAGGAGTTTGCCACAATTTCCCGGTCTGCATTAAGGATTAGATATTTACTGCTGCCTTACCTCTACACCCTCTTCTACTATTCTCACATCAGAGGAGATACAGTGGTCCGAGGATTGATGCATGAGTAAATAATGTTTAATAATTGTTTTGGTCTTAGTATCTACCACTTAAGTCCTGGAAGTCTGAGTTTTTCTACTAAGGCAATTACTTTGGAGGTAAAGAAAAGTCAAATCAAATTCTCCCCCTTCTGACTATGATTAGAAATAATTCACAGATTCAAAAAGTATAGTTAAGGAAACACTTTCAATCAACAAAAAGCGAAGTCTGTGTGTTGCTGTCAAAATCGTGTAGACTGTATGAAAAGGATGAAACCTGGTCCTTCTCCACAGAGAACTGAGAGATCACTGTAAACTGGAGGTGGTTGAATAAGACTTTATTTATACAAAGACATTGATTAAATTAATAGTTTTTCACTCTAAAAAAATCTAGATTCACATCAGATTCTACAACTCATCGAATTGACAGAGCATTTCTTTGGGGGCCAGCTTTAATGATTACTCCAGTTCTTGAAGAGGTAAGTATTAGTATTATATATCAGCACAATACAGTTAATTATAGCAGTGTACATAGTTGTCATTTCATATTTAATCATATTCTCCTGCTGTTCTCACATCATTTTAATTTGAAAACAATGTCTTTGTATGTCTATTTTACCTCCTGTAAAATATCCTTCACATTAAGTAAATCTGAACAAAACTAAAATATATGTTTTTGCTATTCAGAAATTCTGAAATTGATCTCAACAAAATTCACAGAAGTAGAATATTGACCCCCCCAAATACATGCTACATTATAGAAAATAGAGGTAAAATTCCATTTTTCACCTATACCAATGTAATATCAGGAAGCCTATTTTGAAAATATCATTAGCTTCATGTCACCTTTTCTAAACAAAACCCCAATTCCTAATTCCAACCTGTTTGTCCCATCTCTCAAGATAGTTTTCTTATCCATACTTTAATCACAAAGGGAAATATAGATCACATTGGGTCACAAAACAAGCATTAAGAATTTAAGAAGATTGAAATCATACCAAGTGTCTTCTCTAACTAGAGTGTAATGGAACTAGAATTCAATAGCAGAAGGAAAACTAGAAAATTTGAAATATATGAAAATTAAACAACAGTCTTTTGAAAACCAAGTGGATCAAAGAGGAAAGCAAAGGGGAAATTAGAAGATATCTTAAGATATGAAATGATTTCAATCTTCGCACTTTGTTAATATTTGATTTATAGCCTAATATGTGATCATTCCTGGAGAATGTTCCATTTACACTTGAGAATGTATATTCTACTGCTATTGAGTCGAATGTTCTATATATGTCTGGTAGGTCCACTTGGTCTATAGCATTGTTCAAATCCTCTGCTGGTAGTCTTATTGGTGTTCCCTTTTATGTGATATGTTGTTTTTCACTTGCTACTTTCAAAACTCTCTCTTTGTCTTTGACTTTTGACAATTTGATTAAATGTGTTTTGGTGTGGATTTCTTTAGGTTCATCTTATTTGGGATTCTATAGGCTTCTTGGATATGGATGTCCATATCCTTCCCTAGATGGGAATTTTTCAGCCATTGTTTCTTTGACTCTGCTTTCTAGTCCTTTCTTTCTCTTACTTCTTCTAATCATATAATGCATATATTGTTTTGCTTGATGGTGTACCATAGGTCTCTAAGCTTTCTTCCTTCTTTTTCATTCTTTTCTCTCTTTGCTTCTTTGACTGAATAATTTCCAAAGACCTGTCGTCAAGTTTGCTGATTCATTTGCTTGATTTAGTCTGCTGCTGAACCTCTTTAGTGAATATTTTAGTTCCGTTATTAATTCTTTAGTTTTATAATTTCTGTTTGCCACTTTTTATATTTTTTATGCATTTGATGAAACTCTCATTTTGTTTATGCATTGTTCTTCTGACCTCAGTGAGGTCAGAAGTGAACATATATTTTTTGGAACATATTTCCATTTCTTCTTTATCATGGTTTTTTAAAATCTTTGTCAGGTGGATTACACAACTGTTTCATTAGGGTTGGTTTCTGGAAATGTATCTTATTCTTTGGAACATATTTCCATTTCTTCATTTTTCTTGACTCTGTGTTGGTGTCTGCACATCAGACAAAACAACCGCCTCTCAGTCTTCAGCTGACTGGCCTTGTACAGGAGAAGACCCTCATCAGTCAGCCTGGCCAGAGATCTTGGTGGCCTCTCTAACAGTTGTGCTAGTATAAAAAGAAAACCACTATTTTTTCTAATGAATCACATTTCTGATAACAAATTATGAGATTTTTTTTCCCCCATACCAACAAATTCTCCAATTCTCAGTGGACACTGACTGGATTCCTATAGTTGAACTCAATTCTGATACTAACTGCCCAGAGTTAGCGCCAACCCCAGAGGTTAAGAGCTCATTCACACAAGACTATCCTCCACTTCAGATACCAGTTGCAAGTCTGGAGCTCCTGGACTTTTGACTGACTATCTATAAATCAGGGGTTCATTGTGATCCTCTCTCAGGGGGAGCTCACAAAATTCAGGAAGACTGTTTACTCATGTTCACCCTTTTGTTATAAAGGATATTAACTCGGAAACAGCCAAATGGCCGAAATTTATAGGGCATAGTATGGGGGAGGGGCACAGTGCTTCTCCACCCTCTCTGCTGTGCCATTCTACCAGCACTTCCATGTGTTCACAAACCTGGAAACTTCCCAAACCCTATCATTTGGGGTTTTTATGGAGGTTTCATTACATAAGCATGATTGATAAAAATCATCGGCTATTGGTTATTGAACTCAATCTCCCATTCTAATCACAAAACTAATTGTCTCTGGCAACCAGCTCCCACCCTCCAGGAGTCACCTCATTAGCATAAAATCAGCTAATAAGGTGAAAGGGGCTTGTTATAAATAAGAAAAGATGCTCCTTTTACCTTTATCACTCTGGAGCTATCTCAGGACCTGGAGACAAAACCCAGATATTTTAACAAAAGACGCACCTGTGACTCTCATCACTTAGGAAATCACGGGGGCTTTTGGAACTCAGGTCAGGAGGCAGGGATGAGGACCAAAATATATATATTTCTTCTTATATCATAACATTACATCATGCAACTTTCTTTCTTTGTTCTTAGCAACCCCCTGGCATCTAGAGTGTGTTGGGTCCTGTCAGTGTTCTGAGACAAATAAGACTGAAGCCAGGTCCTCAGGCAGCCCCCAGAAAAGTTAGATCATTGGATGTTCTGTCCGATGCTTTCCCTTCTTAGGGGAATTCTGGGACATGGAGTTTTAGCTATTTGCTCTGTGCTGAGCTGGGGATAGGGGCTCTGGTGACCATCTGTGGGCTAGATCCAACTGCCATATCTATCCTCACTGGCCCCCACGTGACTAGATTATGCTGGGTCCGCTCAGCTCTCTGAGACAGGCCAGACAGAAGCTAGTCTCCCATGTAGCACCCAGAAATCTTGGGGCCTTGGATGTGTAGTCCACCTCTCTTCCTTCCCAGGGAGCAACTGGGAGCTGATTTTTCTCCCTTTGCTCTGTGCTGAGCCAGGAGAGGGGCTATGGCAGCTTATGCTACCTTCTCTGTTCTCCTTGGCTCTCGGCCCACCCCAATTCTTTGTTCTTAGTTGCCCCTAGGCAGCCTATGTCAGTTCACTCAGCATTCCATATGAGGTAGAACAGAGACCCATGCCCAGAGAAGCACACCAAAAGGCCTTGGACATTTTCTCTTTCCCTTAAGGAAGAAATTGTGGACCAAGGTGATCTCTCTCACCACTGAGCTGTGCCACCATGGGGAAGGGTCTGACTCAGGTAAAGTTAAATTGCTCTTCTTACCTGTTTTAAGGCAGTTCTCAGTTTTGTGCTCATCTGGGGTACTGTGACTACTTAACTGGATTCTGGATCTCTGATAAAGGCATTAGGGTCTATATTTCATTGTTAATTTGGTGTTTTTTATGGGAGGACAAGGCCTGGGACTCCCTGTTCTACCATCTTACTGGTGTTTGGTTCAATTTAATACTTTCATCTGATCCTTTAATGCTAACAACTTACATTTATATAGAGCTTAAAAATTTACGGAGCACGTTTGCACAGGTCACCTCATTTAATTTATATAAAATACAGCTAAATTGCATTGCTACCTTATGTTACCACATGAAATTCCTCTTCTTCCAAATATCTTCCACTTCCTTGAGATGATCCTATTCTAAAGATTCTTTGTGCAGTATAATTCAGTTTTCTGGAAATCATTTTTCTCTTTGTATTGGAAAACAATTTTATAAAAACTTTAAATATAATTAATTATAAAATAAAAAACATAAATACAGAAAACCAAATATTATTCTGGATACTTCAACACAGCTTGTGAAATGGAACATTGTCATTCACCTCCAAAGCCTGCATGTGTCTTATTATAATACAATCAGGACTCTCCATGCTCCATGGGCCCCACCCTCAGAAGTAATCACTATCTACCTACCATACAGTGAGTGCTGAAGCCACAATACCAGAAATTCTTCTTGTTCAATCCATTACCAACCAGCAGCTACCATTATATGATTTCTACCTCTCCAAAGTATCTGGAATCTCCTAAATTCTCTCCATCTTTATTATTACTACTCTGGTTTAAGCTTCCATCTCTTCTCTAGACTGCTGCAAAAATCTTTCCCTTATCTGTCAGCTTTTCTACCTACCACTCCCAATCCAGCCTTTTCTGCTGTCCTCATATTTATGATATTTTAAAGTTGTAAGTCATATCATGTTTCCAGTGGCTTCCCTTTGTACTTTCCATGGCCTACAAGGCTCTGTAAGACTCCTTCTTATCTCCCCACCTTCAGCCCAGGCTGGGCTTCCTCCTGTCCACTCAATTACAGCCACATTGGACTTCTTTCAAGTACTTTCAACAAATCAAGATCTTTCACAATTTAGTTTCTTTTGCTTTATTCTCCTCTAAATTTTAGTTAAAGTATTACCTCAAGAGAAGATCTCTCTGACCATCCTATTTAAGGTCCATTCTTATTATTCTTAGCTCCAGCAACTTGATGTTTTATCAGTATATTTTTAAAACATATGTATATTCATATGCGAATACATATATGTATTTATATGTAAATAAAAGTATGTACCTTTACATATGTATACCTGTGTACATATGTATGGATATTTCCTGCCTTACTAACTAGAATTTAAACTATCATCAATTTTGTTCATTCTCGTATACTTAGTGTTCAATAAGTGTAAGAAGTAAAAGTAAGTAAAAGTAAGAAGTAAAAAAAAATTTGAAAAAGTTGATAAGCATTTCATATTTAAGATTTTTCCATAGCTATATGACAATTGCTATTGAGTTAAAAATACAAGAGGGATTTCTCTAGATATGACTTTTAAATCTAATTATAACTTTAATCACAGCTAAATTTTAGTCCACAGAGTAACTGCATAGCTGGTAATGAAATCTACCCACACTGTAGTGAGACATTAATATTTTGAAATATAATAAACCCAATTAGGTTTTTTAGAAAACATTATGAACATTACACATTAAAATTCCATAATCTGGGCATAAAATATATTTGCTGAAAGCACATGAATGTTTCATGTAGATTCTCTAGCTCTCTGCATAATCATATATGAATTAACTAGAACTTAGTTTTAATGATAAATAGTATAAGATTGAATAACCATATAGCCTACTGTATTTTTGTTAAAATATTTTAATTCAAAAAAATTTTTAAAAGTCAAATACTTTCATTTTTTCAAAGGGGGCAAGATCTGTATTTGTCTATTTTCCTGAAGCAACCTGGTTTGACTTTTACACAGTATGTATTTTAGATATTTTATAGGAAAAATAACATAAATCCAGTAACTCTGAGATTTATATAGTATCTTTTCCATTATTTTTATATGACTTCTAGAGCCTTGGACTGTATAATTCTAATGAGTTAGTTCTTGGTGAATCTCCTTATTTGCTCTTCTCACAATGGTAGAATTGGCCATATATAGATCATGAAATATTTAATATGAGAGATGTGATAACTTCTTTTAGAAGAAGAGTGTACTTACTTATTTTATCCAAACATTTAAATTATTAAGAGCAAATGAATCCCTATAGTGATGTTTCTTTATAGCAGAATGTAATAGAGATTATATATAATCCATGAGACAGGTACTTCATCTTGCAAGAACCAGAAATCCATTCAAACTAGCTCAAGCATGAGGTTTATGGTAGGAATACACATGAACTGACAAAAAAAAAAAAAAAATCTCATGGAAATCCAAGAACAGCAACTGTGAATTTCATGGAGAAATTCAGGACTCCATTGCAAGAGTTTGTGAAGATTTCAGCCCAATGTTGTTCCATTCCCAGGGCTCAGCATTCCATGGGCTGTTCTTATTTTACAAACTAACTTTCAAAGGGGTCTCAGCTTGTCATGAATTCTAGCAAGAGACATGTATCTTTATACATCCATTTTGCTTCTGTGATAAGTGGCAGGTTCTTTCCATGTTTTGTTGCTCAAATTCCCAAGAAATATTATATTATTGATCCAACTCATCTTTTTTGTCCTAGCTATACCTAGTCTCCTAGGCAGTGGGACCTATAGTTGTGATGGTGGGGGAGGGTGGTCGAATGAGAGGGGAAACAATATGACATCTCTAGTATAGAGCAGTTATTTTAACTAATGAGTTCATTTACCCCATTCTATTAATATTAGTATGTTTTGATGAGCATTGACTAATGTTACCCAGAAATTTTTCAATAAATTTTTGTGGGAATAACTTTTGACATAAACATAGGACTAATCCCCAATTGTAAGAAAGGATATGTGATCTATTTTTAAATTATCAGTTAGTTACGACTGGGAGAAATGGTATTAAAAATTCTTCATTCTAGCAGCAGATTATCATACTATATTAAACAATTAAATCAATCACTTTCCAATGATATTCTGCAGAAGTGCTTCATAAATTTTGATAAATATTTGCATTAAATTTCATTTCTTAATAAAAGTGAACTTTGGAAAAGAATAGAAATGTTCATACAAAAGTGTTCTTGTATTAAATATTCACATATTTTAGTAAGTAAATGTGGTTATAAAGTTAAACTTTTGAAATAAGTATGTACTAATAAATGCTGCTTTTATGTGTTTTACATATTGGAGTTTACGTAAGTTTTTTTTTTTTTTTGAGTCAATGAATTAGACGTTTTAAGTTACCCTTCCTGTTACTGTATTCCATGGATGCTTTGTTGAGTTTGAACAAAAGTTTAGATTTCAACTTCCTACATCTCCTGAAATGTATTACTTGTTATCAGTTATGCAATTGGAGCTGTTAACTCTGCCTTGTTCTATGTTAGGGGGGTGAAATCCCACCTTCTTGGCAGAAGAAATATGTTGAAGTTCCTGCTCCTCTAGATGTAATTCCCCTTTTCATCCGTGGAGGACATATCTTGCCTACACAGTTTCCGGGCAGAACAACAATGCTGAGGTAACAGGCACATGCTTTCAGGAGAGTTCACACCGAGTATGGTCACTGTTCCTGCTTGGGGTGTGTCTGAGGAGGGCCTGTTTATAAGCAGGAGGCCAGTGACAGGAAATAGTGGCAATTAGTAGTATATCAGTTGCCTACATGTGAGTTTGTAATGTATGTCAGTGCTCACATACATATGTATATGAGAGAGAGAAAGAGAAGAAGGGAGGGAAGAAAAAGGGAGGGAGAGAGGTTAGTGGATGATATTCTATTTGAGTGTTTGATTCACTTTCAAGCAATCTTTCCCTGCATATCTTCCTATTATTATTTTTGAGTTAGCTAGTGATTTCCAATACATGAATTCTGTCCTATATTTTATATAAAGACTAGGTCAGGTCCCCAAGATTGTTTTTTTTCATTTAGGTTATATTTAATTAGTCATTTTTGCTCCATAGATATCATGTAATCAAGGATTCTGCCAAGCAAACAAGCAGGATTTTGAGAAGTATTAGTTCATATTTCTAGTTGACATCAAAGATACATAATAGCAAACAGAACTGCTAATCAGCATTAATTGAAAATAAAATCAGCTAAACATATAAATCTTTATTAGAGAGGAGTTTTGGCTAGACATTTTTGAAATATTGAAAGTACCCTGAGGAGCTTAGAAATTCATATTAGATCTATAGTTTCATATTAGATCTATAGCACTAACTTGAATAATAGATCCATTTGAATTTCAAGTTATTATATTGCTCATGACCAAGAAGAGAAGGTCTCTTATCTAACTTTTCATTTTTATGGGAAAAATATAGTGACATAATGACACAAGTGTATTTTATGTGAAACCCAAACATTTTCCTTAAGGAATTCTCACTGTAACTCAACTTTTCCAAAAGTAAGTTTGTTTTATCACTTGGGTTGTATAGTTCTTTGCTCATTTTGCAATTTTCTCTTGCCAAGTGGTTAGAATCAAAGCCTCAAGTCATGTCTCCATTGCAGAATCCCAAAAATGGAGCACATGCATTCTTGCATTCTTTTTCCTGAGATATTAATAAAATTCCTAGCTGTGCAGACTCTCCAAATTATTATTCAAGCCTCATTCTTCTTGAGTTCATTGGTCATACCTTAAAATCAGCTCCCAGGATTCCTAATCCAATGACTGTGGTAATTTTATTACAGCTTTCTCTTTGTTGTAGACAAGCCAAAGAAACTGAGGGGTACACATTCAATTAGCATGGTGTAATAATTATATCATTTTATTAATCATAAAAACCTTTACTTTTTTTCCAGTGGAAGACACTTTGATAATTGCTTTTGAGAGGTCTATCCTATGCTATCACTTATTTTTTTTCAGATTGAGCTATTCAGAGGCAGAAATAGGTTGCTGAAGGATATTATAAGTTTGCTATCACTGGAGGTATTCAAAGATAAATTTGAATATTTGGTAAAGATGTTTAAGAAAGGATTCAACAATTTTCTGCATAGTTCTATAAGATGATTGGTGTTTGGCTTTTCTAACCCTGAAAATACACATTTATATCAATTTTCACTCTTTTTCTACAGTCGCCTGAATCCTTTTGGCCTTATAATTGCTCTAAATGAACAGGGAGAGGCATTTGGTTCCCTTTTCTGGGATGATGGCAACTCAATTGGTAAGCAAACAGGCACAACAGTTGAAATGTTCTGGATTTCAATATGACTTTATTTAACATTAAAGACTGGAGACCTAGACCAGCATAGTAAGTTTGATATAATAAATACTGTAGCAAGATTCCGCTTTCTCCAACATTACTGTCCAGGAAACATGACATTTTCCTTATATCTGGCCACTCCCCTGGGTTAAGCAATACAGGTGAGACATTTTCTCCAGGAAGGTGCTAACAAAATACACTATGGTTACCTGAGAGGAGAGTGTATTTCTCTACCCTATTAGCATGCTAAAATAAAATTTCTTCTTATTAGTACATTCTTACTTGGGGAGAAAGAGAGATTGCAATCTTAATGAGTAGAACTTTTCAGTGGAAAGTTGTAAGAAATTGGTTCTGGTTGTATAGCCATTAGGCTAGAGGAAGAAGGAACTGCTGATTTTCTATGGTAAGGAGACTGGGCCATTGGTTGGAGAAAGATGTATGGAAGAGGAAAAGGCCTGGATTAACTTGAGAAAACAGATCAAAACATAGCTGGGCAAGGCCGAACATCAGTGTTTTTGTTTATTAATTTCTCTCTTATTTCTCCCAATTTTATTTTTTAATCTTATCTCATTGATCAGCAAACTATAGAAAAGATTTTTCTTGGAACAATGGAAATGACTTCCATGATAAGCATAATACATGCTATATACATTGATAAATATATTCAAAGAGGCCCCATTTTAAAAATCAGAAATGAGTTTTCAGGGACTACACCACAGAGACAATAATGCCCGTGAGGTTACTGCTCAGAACATTCTGTCTCCACACTGGTTGACCTACATCTATCTTTTTTTTTGCCCCTCCTTCATAAGCAAGAAAGACAGGGAAAGGGAGAAACATTTTAATAAGGAAGATGAAAAGGAAGAAAAAGAAAATGTGAAGCCAAACAGGAAGATACATTCCTAATCTGACATATAGATAGGATGGCGCATTGCTTCTGTGGTAGAAATTCAGGAAAGGTACAAAGGGCCCTCAGTGCCTAGATTTTCATGATAACCACCATTCTTTTGTGTTCTTTTTAGTTTTCTTTTTTTTGCTCTGGATACACTGATTAAATATCTAACACTTGAAAGAGATTGTTTCTGAATTTTAGAGGCAGGAGTATTGGTAGTCAGGGAAAGAGAGGGCTACATCTGTCTGTGATTGTGTTTGTATATGTGGACCATACACAGAGTTGTGGGAGGAGGTTGCCCATAATGTCATTATACTGTATTCCTCCTTACTAAATTAAAGTGTTGAAAAAGAAGTGTCTAAAAAGAAGCTCCTTTTCTCCTATTTTTCCATATAAAATAAGGGAGGAAAATGAGTAAAAAAATGGGAGGCATGGTATGATAAAAAGACCTAGTTTAGCAGATTAACTCTATTTTTTATTTTCCAAATAGCATCATGAAAAATAAGTTGGAGGCTAGTGATTAATCAATTTATGATTATTATTATTATTATTATTTTTTACCCAGAGGATTCCAAGTAAAAAGCTTAGGATAAGACCTTGCAGATTTGGAGCTTAATTGAGCAGAATTTATGTTTAAAAAAAAAAAAACAGTTAAAGATAACATTGATAGTATTTTCTAATGTTAATCTTCATTTTTCAGATTCTATCAGAAAGAAAGAATACTTCTATGTCCAATACAAATTCCGTGATGTAAGTTTAAGCATTCAGTACAGCTTGTGACATATAGTTCATTTTTTTCTGAAGAAAAATATATTCCAAGGGATCTTAAAAATAAAAGTGTTTCAAAGTATTGGCAATTCTCCAAATTACATTGCATTGTATATTTCTGTGTATTTCCATTGTTTATTTAAAAATGCTTTTCTCTCTCCATAACAACAGAGAATGCTGAAAACCACTGTGATTAAAAATGGCTACTATGGAATCAGTAGTCTAGCATGTGGCACTATTCAGATCCTTGGTTTGACTTCAAAACCAAATGTTATTACTATGAATGGAAAAACCATTCAAAGCAGCAGAATACAGCATAATTCCAATAGGGTAAGGTTTAAACACTATTGAGTTAAAAAGAAAAATTTCCTTTATTAAGTCCTAAGTGCTAATAATTGAATTTTCCTTGAATACTGCCTCTTTGCAAAAACCACAGTAGATCACATTTCTAAAATAGCAGCTTGCATATTTCTGAAGCTTGAAGAAGATAGTAAGCATACAGTTATATTTCCATATAAAACTGTGCCCATATCAGGGCTAGAGACTTTGTTAAATTAAATGTCACAGACAATATCATGCAAGACTGGTGTGTTCTCTTTCAAGTGCACCATAAAGGAAGGATAAATGGAAAGCTAAAATAAATGGGAATAAAATTTTTAAAAAAATTGAAAGTGGAAAGTTTGGAGGGACTATATTTCAATTCCTTCATTGGACAGATATACATTTAGCTGAACATCAGGGAGGTGAAGTGAGTTATCAAAGTCGTACACTCCTACTAATTGACAGAACTGAGTCTTGACCTTGAAACTCCTGATGTCTCATGCCTCTTTCCTTATACTCTATTTTATTTGAAAATTAAAAATATTTAATAAGCTCTTGCTAAGAGTTTGAAGGTGTATGTGCTATAGATACTTGCTTATAAATACAAGACATGGTCCCCATTCCTGAAGTACTTAATGAATGCTAAATACACACTACTTCCCTCCAATATGAGGAAAGATCTTAGAGAGTTTGGAGTCTCTGAAGCCCCTATGCCTAATACTCATCACACAATACAACATAATGGTCTTTACTAATACAGAACAGTGGCACAGAGCTCAAAATACTGAATTTTCTTTTTTCTAATTAAAACATAATTGATAACAAGGTCATTTGAATAATGATCTATTCAGAATTTGCCCGTCTATAATTAAATGGATTTCTCTCTAATTGGAGAATTATTTTGATTAAGTTATTTGATATCCTAATCATAATGGTAATACTTTACTTAAAGTTTTATATTTTACAAAGAATTTTTAGCAACATTATTTCATTTGATTCTCACCATACTCCTGGGAGATAAATCTGAATGGCCAACATTATCATCCAGGTTTTAGAGAGGAAGAAACAATGTCTTAGCATTATCTCACAGTTAGTAATGCAGTGGTAGAAAACCTGAGCTGCCTCCCTGTTTTCTCTGTGCTCTTTCTCTTATCTAGGCTTCCTGATAAACTAAAAGCAGTTGTTCAGGTCAAAAATAAAAAATACCTCCTTTGGGAAATTAGTTTCACAAATTTTTGTTTCATCTATGTGTGTAGTTCATCTTGAATTTAAAAAAAATACAAAAACCTCAAAAGTTCTATAGGATACAAAGGTCACTTCTGAATGAAATAAGTTGTTTAATTGGAGGATTCCATGGACTTATAAACTTATGGTCTGTGAATAATTTAATATGCATGGGGGAATACATATATGCTAGATATGTTATATGCCATTCATATGTATATATATTATCACATATATGTTAAAGTTATCTCTAGACTCTTGAAAACATTTGATTGTCTTTGTAGCATCATAAGTTTATTTCGATAACTTCAATTGTAATTAAATTTCTTTACATTGATTTACTTTCACTAATTTATTTCCTCTCATCTGTTACAGAAAGTTACTTTATGGATATCTGAACCCATGTCCCAGGAGCTGACCATTTCATTAAATTGAATAATTTTAAAAATAATAACCAAAACAGCAGTGGTAAAAAATTATCTATAACAGTTATTTACAATAGTTAAAAATTATTTGCATTTATGGAAATTTTAATTTAAATAGCAATATAATTAAAATATTTCAATTATGTATTGTCTGTGTGTATTACTCAAATTGTCTGACATTGTTTCTTACAAAAGCTGGACAAAATGCTAACTAAACTTCCTCTGCCTTTTAAGAACTGATGTATGTTGAAATGCTGAGCTGAGAAATAAGATCAGATTTCTTGGTCTTCAAAGCAAGCCTTTGAAAAAAATCCATTGTGGAATTTTTAGTTTAGTAGAAGGCTTATGAACCCAATGAAATTTGGTAAATTTCTGGCAAAAGGTAGCTTTTTGTAAACCAGAACTTTTCAGCAGAAAACATTTTTTTAAAAAAAATTTGGAACATATATTTGATTTTCATTTTAGATTACCTGAATTTTTTCTTAGAAGTAAAGTAATAAAACACAACTTCTGATTTTTGTGACTTGAAGAAATCTCTGAGTATAAATGTACTAGTGGGAGTCAGGCGTACATGACAAGAGGGGATACAGTGAACTGGAGTAGGTCTAAGAGAGAATGGGAAAGAGGCATGGGTGTAGACAGCTTTTTAAAGGAGCTTAAATGAAAGGGGCAGCAGAGATGAGACAGTGGTTGGAGGAAATGTGGGTACAGGGTTGAGGGTTTTTTTGGTTTATTTTTGTTTTATAGCATGGGAGATTTTATAGTATGGTTGATAAGAAAAATAAGATAGATAAATACAGATAAAAATTGTTGACAGGGATAAGAGAGGGAAAAGCTTTAGGAGCTAAGTCCTTAAGTAAGTGTGAGTTGGATGCAATCTAACGCACCAATGGAGGATTGGCATTAGACAGGAGCACAAGGAGTTCATTCATCCCAATAGGATGGAAGACACCATGTGTGTTGGTACAGGCTGATTAGTGGATTTCGTGGTGGAAACATGGTGGAGGTTCTTTTTAATGGTTTCTCTTTTCTCAGTGAAATAAGAATCAATGTTTCCAATGTTATCAGCTGAGAATGAGGATAGGTACAGAGGTGTTAGAAGTTTGAGAAAGAGAAAGTGAGAAGAACAGGAAGAGTAATTGATGAGGGAGGTGTAATAGGATTGCTACTCAGCAGTCAGGGCCTACTTAAAGTGAGAACAGTAAGCATGTTTTGTGATTTCTTTGGCCAAATTCAGCTATTTGGATATGAGTGGGAACTAACTGGAGAGTAGAATTTAACTGGGGTGGGAATTTGGCCATGGGAATAACAAAGAAGGATGGAGTGGCAAGGAAATTGAAGGATAAAAGAGAATAATTATAATAATGGACCATAGAATCTAAGTTGGGTAAAGACAAATAATGAAGACATGCAGAATATGAGGGATAGAAAAAAAAATGATAGGGTCAATAGATCAGAAGTCCCAGTGAGCTGGAGGAATTAGTGGAGAGAGAGAGAGAGAGAGAGAGTGTTGAGAAGTTGGCAGTAGGAGAATGGGATTCTTGAAATTAATTTTATGTGGGAAGTGTCTGTTATAGATAGACACTGGTTAAAAATGTGCAGTGTATATATATATATATATACACACACACATATATATGTTGTGCTGTGTTTGTTGTGTGATTTGTAATAAAAATAAACCATAGGCAATAATTTGGTGATGTCTAAAGTCTACGTGTCAATGTACTCTCTGTTTGAGCTTGAAAAGATTGAATCAAAAACAAATGCAAACAACAAAATCCACTATACACCTATTAGAATGGCTAAAATTTTCTGAAAAAAATTGGTAATGCCAAATTCTGGTGAGGATGCAGAGCAATAGGAGCTGTTACTCAGGAATGCAAAATGGTACAGATGCTTTGGAAGGCAGTTTAGCAGTTTTCAGAAAACTAAGCATAGACTTACCATATAATACAGCAGTCATACAGCTCCCAGGTATTTACTCAACTGATTTGAAAACTGGTGTCCACACAGAAACCTGCATATAAATGTTTATAGCAGATTATCTGTGATTGCTAAAAACTGTTAGCAACCAGATGTTTTTCAATAGGTAAATATATATTAATATAACAACATCCCTGTAGCAATGAACACACTTAACACTCAGATCTTGGTTTCAAATCATGTTTTCCAAAAAAAGAAACCAGGTATCTTTGGAGAAATGGCTCTTTGGGCTGGGACAGGAAGTGTAAGAGTCTGGAGCAGGCATTCTCAAACTACGGACCGTGGGCCACATGCAGGTGTTTTTGCCCGTTTGTTTTTTTACTTCAAAATAAGATATGTGCAGAGTGCATAGGAATCTGTTCATAGTTTTTTTCAAACTATAGTCCGGCCCTCCGACGGTCTGAGGGACAGTGAACTGGCCCCCTGTTTAAAAAGTTTGAGGACCCCTGGTCTGGAGCATAATGTAGTGACAAAAAGCAAGGAAGTGCTCGATAAATGATATGATAGGAATATGCCAGAGGGACACAAGAACTAACTTCAAAGAGCTTCCAATGGCAGGAATTCAGTTTTAATCCTATACATAAAATGAGTATCTATGGGTCTATAATGATATGACTAAATGATGGAATAAATAATTGGGGAAAAGAGACACATCTTCCATAGAAAAGAATTCCAGATAAGTTATGAAGAAACTTCCCTCCTCCTCAATTGTGGGTTATACTTAGTGACTTCCTTCCAAAGAGTACATTATGGAAAAGAAGAGAAATTAAAAAGTAACTACACAGTGGAGAAACGTGACAAACTCCTCAGACAGGGGGTCCAGATTAATATCATGAGGGACAAGTTGTGTTGATAGCATGTATGTACTCTTCATATGTTGTGTTAAAAATGAGATTTCACCCTCTGTGAGCTTCCTCTCAAAAACCCATAACCCATGGAAACTTTAAGAGGTGATAAAAAAGAGAAAGAAAAAAAAAATAAATAAAAAAATAAAAAAAAAAAACCCATAACCCTAGTCTAATTATGAGAAAAGCATCAGGTAAACCCAAATTGAGGGATATTCTATAAAACATCTGACCAGTACTCTTAAAAATTGTAAAGGTCTTTGAAATCAAGGGAAGTCTTAGAAACTATTACAGTCCAGAGGAGCCTAAGGCAACATGATGACTAGATGTATTGTGATGTTCTGGATCAGATCCTGGAACAGAAAAAGGCCATCAGGGAATAACTGATGAAAGCTAAATAAAGTATTGAGTTTAGTTAATAATAATATATCAACATTGGTCAATTAATTATGACAAATATACCATAGTAATATAAGATATCAACAATAAGAGAAACTGGGTGCAGAGTATATGGGAACTCTGTATTATCTCTGAAACTTTTCTGTGAGTCTAAAATTGTTCTACAGATAGAAAAAAGTTTATGAAAAAGAAAAACATATGGAGCTTCACAAGAGTTCACATATTTGCCTGAAATTTGGCATTGTCTTCCCAGCAGGAGTCATTGCTGTCACTGTTAAATTATGTTTTAAGGTCATCATCATCTCAGCTTCCCCTTCATTATGACTTCCTCCAAAGTTGCTACAACATCAATATGGCATGGGGAAAAAAGTGGCTGGTTATCTTCAGCCTGTACGTAATGTAAAACAATTATGGAAATTATAATTATCTTTTTAATTTCAAGAGCTTCCAGCTGTTTACACTATTCTAATGAAACTGGTATTGAAATCCAGATTGCTCCCGGTCTTAAATTTATGTTTGACCTCAGATTAGAGAGATGCAATAAATATGGTGTGGATATACTTAATGATACTCACAGTTTGCAACTGCTAGTATTGTCAGCGTGGGATAAAAAATTCAATTATTTGTTGAATGAACGTATGTTGTGGGCCTCCTGTGTGACAAGCGTTGTGCTACCCCCTGGGAATCATCAGGCCTTTGGTCTAGGGCATTGACATCCCTCTGTAAGAAGCCGTGTCAGAGCCAACTGACAGAGTAACTAGTAGCAAAGACCAAGGCTCTGGCCAAATTGTTTTAAAGTCCCGGATATTGGTACTGAGCGCTGTGGGACAGATTAATTTTTTCCAAAGCCCCTTGCAAGGACTCCTGCAGATCAGCAAGGACAGGAGGAGATTTTTCAAAAATGCACTCTTTGTTGTTAATGACCAAGGGAAGAGGCATCAAGCATTCTCCCCGTGGAGGTGTAATTTGTCCTATAATGTGACCCCCAGAGCTGTCTGACATTTGCAGGTGGAGCTTTTAAGGAGCTACCTAAAACAAATGTTTCTTTTCCAGGGGGACAGCTCCCATCACATAGCAGCATGTGGCACCCCATCCAAAGGTCTTATCACAGCTGTCTCCTCCAATGGGCCTCCTTTGCCACAAAGAATCTTTCAAGTGACTACACTGAATTCCTCATTCTTTGAGGCTAAGTGCCCTCATACAGCACTTTCCAAAACACATGTGATTTTATAAAGAGCACGGTTTTAAAACATATTGAAATAAATCATTTGACAATCACTTTCAAAATATTCCTGGAACTGTTCCCTAACCCTTTCTTGAACATATATCTCCTTAAATTTTTTTAAGCCTGAGGTCACTGAGAACCAAGACATAAAATCCTTTGTGCAGCATTCACCAACAGAAAGCTATAGGGTCCCCGTGGCTTTCTAGCTCTACATAGTAGGTAAGACTAAGTGGGATTATTTTACAAGAAATAAACAGTATTGAACAAAAACAAAGTCCGATGAAGATATTATGGTTGTCAAGCCTAATCATACCCAGGAAACATGAGATTAATTTATTTTCAAATATATTCTGAAGACCAATTACTGTCTATTCTTAACTAACAGAAAAATGTGAATTCAAACAATGCACATACCGAAATAATATCATCTCATCCCACTTTTGGCCCTAGTATATGTAACAGAGGGGCAAGATGAAGGCTCTCTCACAAAATGTATTATATTTCATATATTGATTATGGGTCAATTTTTCTTATTTGCAAGCAAAACAAAGCCCTCTGGTTATTTTCCGCAGAGTATTGATACCAAAAGCAAACTCACTCTGCTTTTCCACACAAGGAAAACAAATGA